CTGATGAGCATATCCTGAAGTTTGGAAAAGTCGCAGTGCTCGCTGTTGTCGACTGCAAAGGAGGATGAGGAGCGTGGGAACGTGAGAAACGTCAGAGAGCACAATGAGGTATGGGAAGAGACAGCCAGGCAGAGCCAGACTGGCAGAAACACAGCCACAGAGAGAACGAGGAAGACACGCATGCGCATTCTGCGAGCTTCGCAATCGCATCACACGTAACGTACTCTCCACGACGCCAAAGCGCGTTTTGCGCCCGCGCACGCCCGTGTCCGGATCAGTGAAGTTCTGACCAACAATTCCAAACGGCTGCTCCTCCTGTGCAAGTGTGTGTGTGTGTGTGTGTGTGCGTTGTGTAAAATTGGCAAGCGTGAGTGATGTGAGCGGTGCTGGGATGAAGAGTGCCCTGCAGCCAAGCCAGAGTGCGAGGAATGGCAGCAATAATGTTGTGCGTATGTGCAATCAACTGACGAGGAGGCGGACGGCAGCCATCATCTGCGATTCGCTCTGTGTCGGGCGCGACTGCGGGAACGGCAGAATGTTCGCTGTGGTCATGTCCTCGCGGATCTGCCGGAAACACGCACGGACACACACGCACGCAGTTACGAATAGACACGCATGGCACGCATGGGTGTACGCACATACATACCGAGAGTCGCGGTGTGCAGTCAACATTGAGGTGAGTGTGACGTGCGTGAAGAATGCAAACACAGAACGCAAGTTGACATGGCGCAAGATGTGTTTCTATCAGCGCAGCCACCACGAATCATCCTCAGCGCAGCCACCACGAATCACCACCCCCACCACCGCTGACCATCACCACCACATCCATCACCACCACATGTGTTCGCACCCGCTGCTTGAAGTGCTCGAGCTCGTCGCGTGTGAGTGTGTCCGCCTTTGCTATGACGGGCACCAGATTCACCCGCTCCTGGAGACTCAGCATCGCCTGCATGTCAAGCTCGCTCAGCCTGCACGCGCAGACACACATGTGTGTTTGAGTGCGTGTGCGTGTTGTTGAGTGAGGGGACGTATTTTGCCATGACTTACTGCCCGCTTCTCAAAAATGCGTGTTCTGCTCGACCACACACACACACACACACACACACACACACACACACACACACACACACACACACACACACACACACACACACACACACACACACACACACACACTACTACTACTACTACTACTACTACTACTACTACTACTACTACTACTACTACTACTA